TAGGCCGAAAACCGTGTGGGGAGCATTTCCGTGGTTGAGTTTGGACGTGGGTATTCAATTCAAGGTAAGGGGGGACTCTACCCTACTCCTTTATGTGTGATATTGTGATGTGGCTGAGTAGAGGGTAGGAAATTGTTGAGATATATGGTGTGGGCACTTGTGTCATTTATACATGTGTGTATATCTGAATGTATATTGTGAAAATGTGGACCTGAGGGCTGTGTAATATGAATGGAAATAGGCTAGGGGCTGTGTATCTTGAATGAATTATGGGCTATGTGTTGTGTGTGCTATGAAAATGAAATGTGGGCCTAGTGCCGTAACTGTTAAATGTGGGGGCTATGTGCCGTATACTGAAATATGTGTGACTGGGACATGTAATGCCGTTGTAATGTGCTGTGAATGGTTCAGCGACTGTGGAACGGGTGCACCACAGGCCACACACTCTCTTCCTGACTAGACCTCTGACCATTACCTTTGCTGAGCAACTCGTGACTGCCCACGTGGTATCCGTGAGGCGAGGGTAACCGGTGACCATTCATGGTGTAAATCTGTGATCACAGTGTCAATGTGAGTGTGGCTGGCGTGCGTATGCATGAGTTCATGAATTGTACTTATGGAAGTGATAATGTTGCCTGTACTTGTATTTGTTTAATGTATTGGAAATGTGCTTAAGGTGAGACTCTATGCTTAACTGTATGTTTTGGTAGTGTAGAGTACTCACCTTACACTCATTTTTTAGGTAATCAAGACGATCAGCACCAGACTCAGTGAAAGGGGCGGATGAAACTACTATAGGACTAGGATTTTAATTTGAAACTAATGTATTTGAATGGTCCTGTAGTAGTGACTTGATAGAGATTGTAACCCCTTTCCTTATTTTAAAATATTTGATGAAATTTGGATTAAAAATGGAAGTTTTATTATTTCAAAAATTTGCAAAATTCTTTATTTATTTAAAAATTAAATTTAAGGTGTTACATTTATTACTTCTCGATGGGTACACTTGCCATCCGAACATCCGGCTAGAGTTACACTACTCATTTATTTTCATAAAGAAAGAAAACAAAGTTTTCATAAAGTTTTAGTTTTAGTCATTAGATTCAATTATTGAACTCAAGGTCGAAGCTAGAATCATGGCTAAACTCCTTAAAGCGCATATACTTACAAATCAATTTTCTCTTAGCGTATCATCACGCATTTTCTCACCCTCAAAAGGCTCAAGTTCACAAATGGTGTCTACTCAGCCTACATATACCTATATACATATTCTTAGTGCTTTACACAATCAACACATATGCTAAACCATATATTTTTAAAGAGTACAACACACGAGATAACTTGTTCAAGTACACTAGGCATACGTACTCATGTTGGGCATTTCAATAAAGTATTCCATTTAATTGATCTTTGGTTTCCAACAAGCTTTGAGTAATTAGTTCACTTAAGATAATTCATAATTTTCATAAAATAATATTTATTCAAACATCAAGTGTAAAATAATTCCCAACTAAAGATTGAGAGTTGTCAAAATCAAAATATACTCATAAACACATTTTAAAATATCGAAAGTCTCAAGTAAAGATTCAAAAATGTCAATTATGTAATTTAAACACCATATGTCTCATTATACATGTGTTCTACACCTCAGGGTTAAGGGACAACCCTTTTCGACTTATTTCTTTTCTTACTGTTTACTTGAAATACCTACCTCCTCCCTCTTACCTTGGTGAGTGAGGTAGTCTGAAGGCTCTTTTTCCTGGACTTTCTAGTGTCAGAAATCAAGATTTCTTTGTTCGTTGCATTCCTAGTTCAGAGAAGAGTCTATCAAAATCATTTGAGCCAAAATGAACAAGAGCTAGTATTTTTAAAAATTTAGAAAAGCACCTATTGCAAAAAGTCAGAAAACTTCAAATTTGTGCAATGTTTGTAAAATTAAGTGCAACAAATTCAAACAAAGTCCAAATGATGATCCACAAATTTTGTTAGAAAGCTAAGATCCTAAGGATCAAAATCAACATTTAAAAGTCCACTTTTGGCTTACAGAAAGGTGAAGAAAATCAAAATACATTGTTGTTCATGCAAGTTTTTCGATTTTGCACCATTTTTGTAATTTATTTCATAAAGTATTCAAACAAAGTCCAAAATTAACAAAAAAAATATGCGTTGGAAAGTTGTTTTCATGTAGTTTATGAAAATTAATTTTGAAGTTGAAACTACTCAGTACAAAGGGCATAAAAATTATTCCTTTATACTATTTCTACAGAAAATGTAAAAATGAAGGTACTTGTGTATTATAGGTGATTGACTGGGCAAACGATATCGGATTTCAGCTCAGAATATCTCGTTGTAAAGATAATTAAATAGCCTTCTCTTTTGCTAGAACAACAAAAATGCAGAACAAGAAAGGGATTTCACCGTTTTCACTATAACTTGTGAATTCAATGTCTATTTTGAGCAAAGTAACTTACGTTTGATAGCTAATTCTGTAAGGATCACAAAAGAACAATTGCATGCAAGTTTCAAAGATAAAAAAAAATGAAAATTAGACTCTCTTGTTTTTACAACACAAAAAACATAGAATAAGAAGGGGTTTTACCGTTTTGCCTGTAACTTAATGATCTAATGTCTTTTTTGAGTGAAAAAAGATGGGTTGGAAAGCTTTTCCACTGCACAATCCGAATATGCAGATATTAGGATTAAAAAAAAACATTTAGATGATTAGACTTGACTCAAACAGTGGCTAGATGTAGAAAGTTCTAAACTTTTCCATGGACAAGGTGCACAAACATCATCACTTTGATTTGACTGGTGAGAATGCTAAGAAACAAGGATGAAAGAGTGCTTTTACCTTGCTTGGATGTTCAAAGAGCAAGGGTGAGTGGTGGGGAAGATGAGAGAAATTGTGAGAAAGATAGAAACCGTGAAAGAGAGTAAGAGAGAGCTTTACGAGAAGTAAAAATAATGAATTTGGTTTTGCCAACCTTTCAACATATGGCTGTACATATGTTATGCATGCAAGGGCTGGTCTTGTGATGAGTCACTAACTCATCTAGAAAATTAAAGGTTTTTAGGCATATTTCCTTGAATTTAAATTATAAGTTAATGCAATTAATTGAGAAATTCAGTGGAATATTGTATTTGCTGAAAAATTTATGAATCACTCATATTCTGATAGCTAGTAGTTTTATTTTGAAAGGATTAGAAAGAAATTTGCAAGTGGACATAAAGAGCTAAAAATGAGTGCTGCAGAACTGATTTGTGGGGACACAGATTCCTGATTGTAGGGACATGATGATGACTGATGCATATAAAAGCAAAAAAATTCTGAAAAGGTGGCATCTTTTATCTTTTTTTCTTTTACAATTCCAGAGCACAGAAACCTAGGTTTTCATACAGTGTACGTAGAATATGGTAGCTAGGGTATTTTCTTTACATCTTGGCTAAAAGATCTTCATGGGAACTTAGATTTCATCTCATTTTCTCTGGTTTATGTAATAGAACAGTAACCTCTCATTTCTTCTATTTGCTACAAACATTTTTGTGAATATGAACTCTATTTCTACAATATATTTTAGTTTTATATTACTTACTTTCCTATGTCCAGCTAAATATTTTGGGGTTGAGTGAGGATGAACTTATACCTTTACCCTTTGCAATGAACTAACATTGGACATAGCTCAAGATACAAACTTTATTCTAAAATTTTGATTCTGAACTTAATGCCTCACTGTTCTACGTGAATGGGGTTGATGAAAAGAAGTTCATTGCTGGAAAGTTATGAGCTTTGTTGGACTGGAACCAAAATGCTTATTATAAATTGTCTAGGAATAGAAGTTTATAATGATGTGGTCTATTGGATTTTAAATCTTAATGCTGAATGTAAGGAATTAGGACACTAATTTCATTTTAGAACCAATTATCAAGGAATTGGGATTAGGTATTTTAGAAAATCTGACCATTAGATGAAGTTATATTTTGAGTTATGCATATACTTGTAAGCAAAGGGAAAAGGATAAGGGATTCTGAACTCAACTTATTTTTAATTATGTGTACACCCATCTCTAGTAATTTAGACATTTACATTCTGCAATTACTTTAATTATTACTCCATTTTAGTCTTGTAGTTTTTGTTCATTTATAAATATTAATCCCAGCACTTTTATTTCTGTTTTTACAATTCTGCACTTAGTAATCTTACATTTTGTTCATAAACTGTTTTTGGGTAACCTAACTAGTGTTATTCTTGTGATTTGGTACTTAGAATTAATCCCTGTAGATGATAGTCTTTTGTTACTTCAACGATTTGGTACACTTGCCAAAATGTTTATCAAGTTTCTGGCGCCACTGTCGGGGATTAATTGTTAATATCAATTGTAATGAGAATTTACTAGCTTGGTTTAATAATTTCTGCTATGTTTTAAGTGTTCACAGAAAAATCTAAGTGCAACAGCTAAATTGGTTGATGCGAGGCAAGGAGAAGATAAAAAAGAGTGATTCATCTCCAGAACTTAATCAGCCAATTATTAATTTCAAGAAAAAGAACAAAAAGAAAGGACAAACTTCAGAAAAAGAAAAAGAAGAAGACCCACAAGAATAGAATTCTGCAGAAATGGCAGGAAATCCCAATGAAGAACGAAGGACTTTCGATGACTATGCACGTGCAAGACCGAGAGGAAACCCCATCTCTATTGTTCGACCTCTCGTTCAAGCAAACAACTTTGAGATCAGACCTGACCATATGAGAGTGGTCCAGCAAGAGCAATTTGTTGGGCATCCTTCTGAAGATACCCACTTGCACATTCAGAATTTCTTGACCATATGTGGAATGATTAGAATGAATGGTGTGAGTGATGAGGCTATCCGGTTGTCTCTTTTTCCATTTTCTTTAAGGGATAAGGCAAAGAGCTGGTTGTTATCTCAACTAAAAGGAAGTATCACTACTTGGGATGATTTAGAGAGCAAGTTTCTAACAATATTTTTCAGCCTCTAGAACAACCATGTTGAGGCAAGAAATGTTGGTTTTTTCTCAAAGGGAAGATGAAACACTTTAAGAAGCATGGGACAGGTTCAAAGAACTCTTGAGAAGCTACCTTTATCATGAGTTACCCGAATGGCTTCAATTGAGAACCTTTGATGATGGGTTGAATGTAGCAACAAAAACAATGGTGGATGCAGCGGCTGGAGGCTCATTTGCTCAAAAGACCTTGGAAGAGGCATGACAACTTATTGAAGTTATGGCATCCAACAATTACAATCATAGGGAAAGGAACTCTTCAAAAAGAGGTGTGTTGGAGCTGAATACCTTGGATGCACTGCTGGCTCAGAACAAATTAATGTCACAGTAGTTGAATTCCCTCAATGCCAAGCTCGAAAACATAAAAATTGAAGGGAGTAAACCAGTGCACTGTGTAGCTCCTACAAGCCAAGAGGAATACCATGAGGGAACAAGTGAAGACAGAGTTAATTATATGTAGCAACAAGGGGCTGAATAGGTGAACTTTATGAATAACATGTCAAGGCAGCAGAATTTTAATTCAAAACCGTAGTGGGAGCAACAAAATTTTCAGCAAAAACCTGTTTACCCACCTCAACAGCAGCAGTTCAGACCAAATTCTAGCTTAAATACCAGGCCACTGAATCAAACATACTATACTCCACCTGCACAAAGACAGAACCAGTAAGGAGGACAGTGGCAACAACATAATTTTCAGAATTCTGGTCATATGCAACAACAGCCCCAACAATCTCAAGTTCCAAAACAAACATCTAGCCTTGAGAAGGCACTCTTGCAACTAACAAACCACCAACCTATTTATGCAGGATTCGAGCCCAAGGATGGCTAATCAAGAAGCCTCCATCAATAATTTAGAGAATCAAATGGGCCAGATTTTGAAGAAAATAAATGAACCAACTCAAGGCTCTTTTTTTGGGAATACAGTGGAAAATCCAAAAGAATTCTGCCAAGCAATTATTACAAGGAGTGGAAAGGTGATAGAGCCACAACCTAAGAAGAAACCACTTGAAAAAGAAGATGATGTAATTGCTGAATAAGAAGAAGAGGGAGTAGAACAACAACCAGAACCAAAATTGGAGATTGCAAAAGAGGAAGAGGAGGAGAAAATTTCACCAAAACAGAAGTTGGTGGTGGATGAGGCATATTGGAACAGATCTAAGAAATAGATTTTGGAAAATTCATGCAATCCTCAAATCCCTCCCCCCTTATGTAAAGCTGCTATATCCACACATTCCCAAGAACAAAGGAAAGGAAGAGCAATTTTCCAAATTCCTGGATATTTTCAGAAAGTTGCACATAAATATACCATTTGCAGAAGCGCTGGAACAAATACCTTTGTATGCTAAGTTCATGACGGAATTACTTTCAAAGAAGAGGAAATTAAAAAAGGATGTTATGATAGCTTTAACCGAGGAATGCAGCGCAATATTGCAGCAAAAGTTGCCTCCTAAGTTGACTTATCCAGGAAGCTTCACAATCCCCTGCATTATAGGGAATGTGACCATTGGGAAGGCCTTATGCGACTTGGGGGCCAGCACTAACTTGATGCCGCTCTCCATTCTGAAGAAATTGGGAGTGGGAGAAGTTAAAAGTACAAGAATGGCTCTCCAACTAGCTGACCGGTCCATCAAGTACCTATATGGTGTAATGGAGGATGTGTTGGTGAAGGTGGACAAAATGATTTTTCTAGCAAATTTTGTTATCTTGGATATGGATGAAGATTCTGAGGTGCCTATGATCCTAGGAAGGCCATTTCTAGCCACTAGAAGGGCTTTGATTGATGTTCAACAAGGAAAATTAATGTTAAGGATGCATGATGAGAAGGTGACGGCTTCGAGTGAGGGAACACGACCATGTTGAAATCTTAAGCACGCCCATGCTTATGATGTAAAGCTTCTCTCACAACTGCGACTGAATACACTGCTGTGTATAGGATGAGCATGGGCGTGCTTTCAGATCAGAGCTCAAAAGTATGTGCAAGAACAATCAACTCTGTTCTTGCAATCTTTTAATATGCTTATTCTTTATTCTAAAAATTAAATAATATAGTTGAGCACTCTTGGGTGAGCTTCACAGTTTCATGTGCTCTCAACTTTCTTTTATTGGTCAAAATCTCCTTTAAAAATTTAGCATATTTGGGGATTTTGGAGATAACATCAATGAAAGGCATATTGATGTGCATTTTGCCCAATAAGTCTAAGAACTTGTGGAACTGTTCGTCATAAGGAGGGTGACCTTGTAGCCGCTGTGGGAAAGGTATCTTAGCCTCATAGGGCCTTGGTTGAACAAGAGGCTCTTCCTTTTTTTTCTTTTTCAGGCTCCTCACTTGAAGCACAGTCTTGCTCATAGTGATGCACGGCCATGCATAAGCACGACTGTGCTTTTATCACTGTCATGGGCATGCTTGTATAAGCACGGTCGTGCTTCTATTGTAGCAGGGGCGTGCTTATCAGTAAGCACGGGTGTGCATGTAGAATCAGCATAGGCGTGCTTCTCAACAAGAATGGGCATGCATGTGCCTCTATTCTACGATTCTTGTAATTTCTTTCCACTTCTAAGGGTGATGGCGTTGCATTACTCCCTTGGATTAGGTTCAGGCTAAGATGGCAATGTTCCCATCACTCTTTGACTTAAAAGGTTCGTAATTTGCTCCAATTGTGCACTCATCTTAGAAGAGTTGACTTGTATTTCAGATTTGACCTCTGCAAACTTCTTATCGGTTCTCTTAATATATTGGTCCAATTTGGATCTTGGATTGAGATCAAGGAGATTCTTTTCCTTCTGGTCTTGCTCCCTGACTTTGCATATGAGGAGGGCGATAAACACTTGAATTTTGACTTCCAAAGCCATTCCTCCAAGAGTTAGGAGGATTACTCCTCCACCCTGAACTATGATTGCCCATGAAATTTGCCTCCTCTTGCTTAGATTCTGGGCATGCAAGAGCTCTTACAGGTTGGTCTTGAGCCTTCATTAAAGATTCTAGTTGCTTTGCAAAGGCTGCCATTTGGTTCATTAGTGGGCTGCTGCTCTCTGCTTGGTAGATTGGAGCGGTCTCTTTCCTCTTAATGTTGTAAGAGTCAGTAGTGTGCCACTGAAAGCTAGAAGACGCCATCTCATCTATTAGCTTGTATGCATCATCTGGATCTTTTCTTATGAGGGACCCTCCTGCTGCGGCATCAATTGTAGCCCTGGTGGTGATTGATAGGCCACTGTAAAAGATTTACACTTGTCTCCATGTTGGAAAATCATAATGAGGATATCTCCTCAAAAGCTCTCCAAATCGCTCCCATGCCTCGAATAAGGATTTTGCTTATTATTAGAAACAACATATCTCCGTCATAAGCTTAGAGGACCTTGATAGGGAAAAGTACTTTCCCAAGAATTTTTGAGTGAGATCCTCCTAAGTTGTGATTGAATTGGCTGAGAGTAAGGAAAAGCATGCATTCACCCTTTTAGATACTAAGAAGGGGAAAAAACGAAGTCGAATAGCATCGTTGGAGACTCCATTATACTTTAGAGTGTTTGTCAATCGTAGGAACTTTGTCAGATGAAGATTGGGGTCTTCGTTAGTCATGCCCCCAAACTATATAGAATTTTGAACCATGGTTATGAGTGTTGGTTTCAATTCAAAATTATTTGCCTCCACATTAGGTGCTGCGATTGGTAAAATTGGTTTTTCATCAAGGCTTATAATGAGGGAAAATCAAGAAAGGGATATTAAGCTCAAATGGGTGAACTAAGATATTCAAGCACCAAGGCAGGTTTATTTAGGCTAACTAGGCATAATTAAACAAGGCCTCCATCATATGTGTGAAAATTGTAAAAATTGCACATTCAATCAAGAAACAAGGCAAGTTCTAAAAGGTGCAGCAAAATTATGATTAATCACACATGAAAGAAAAGTATGCAGTTCAAGTCTCACTACAGAATTGTAAGTGAACATGTTAATCAAGGAACTCACAAGTCACTTTTTCATAATTATATGCACATAGTGGCAAGACTGCCTCATTTGAAAATACAAGTGTGATTTCATTTTGAGAATGGGAAAAACAACTTAAAAAGAAAATTCAAACAAAATTCACAGAATTATCATTTAGACTTCATTTGATTCACAAAAAGCAGTTAAATATCTGTACTAATATTGTTGTGTTTTTCTGAAAATTTTCAGTGTATTGTGAAGCTAACACATGAATAAGAGGTAGAGAATTAACCACTCTTTCATGGCAGCTTGTGCATGTGTTAGTATCCATTGTGTGTGTACTGTGTGATTGTGATATTTTCTGCATAAAACACCAAAAATTTCATCAATTATCAGAAAAGTAAGGTAATTAAAATTGCAGAATTCTAAAACTAAAAGAAATTGAACTTCATTACAACTGAAAAATATTAGAATTGTTCTGAACAACTACTGCATTTACAGAAACAAAAACTCCTAATTGTTAAAATTTACGTAGACTAAAATTATAAACAAATAGAATTAAAAGTCCTAATCTCTGCTTCATTTTCTTCATATGAGGTTACTTCTTCCTTTGATTCTTCTTCCTCATCCTCTTCTTTTTCTTCCACCACTTCTTCAGCTGGTTGTGGGAAGTGAGTTTTGTAGATTGGCAGATCCTTAAAAATTGAGGAGTGAAGGCACTAGGCATTCTCTGCCAAATCAGGAGTATGGTACATTTCCTGCTTGGTTATTCCCATTTTCTGACCAATGTTCAGCATGCACACTCCAGCAGCATGATTCCAGCTTTGACACTGGTATGGAGTTCAGTCTGCCTCTCAGCTAACTAGTTTTGCCTCTCAGCCATTAGATGCAAGATGTCCTTCATCATCATGGGTTTTTCCTTTCTGAACTAAGAGGGAATGGGGTTGCTGAGGTGCAGGAGATGGTGGCATAGATTTCCTTCACCATGGAGATAGAGATAGGGGGAACAGATCTAATCCACTCTTGGTATTCTCCAACTTCAACTCCTGCATCCTCACAAAGTAAGGTTATTAATGAAGGAAAGGCAAGTGAATCTCTCTTGGTTTTCAGAATATTTAGAATGCATTCACTGATGACCTCTCTTACATCAATATACATATCACTAACTATTGCAAAAAGGAGTTCTGCCCTCTTCACAGCCAATGTTGAACTGTGCTTAACTGGCATAAAGGAGTTCAGAATGAAAGTGCTCCACACTTTAGCAAATGGCAACAGTTGTTTGGTGACAATGAATTTGGGCTTCTTGGACTGGTTTAGCTTCCAAGTTGTTCCTGGCCGCCCAATCCTTTGTAGAATTTCCACATAGTCCTTTTCAGGGCTATTCTTAAAAGCATTGAATCTCATAGCATTGGCATAAAATTCTTGAGCTATCTCCCTCCAACCCACGTCAGCTAATAAGCAGAAGGATTCCCAATCTCTCTTCTGGATCTCCTCCTTGTATTCAGGATAGTTGTCTCCAGCTATTTCAAAAACTCTATATGGGAAAATCTTTCTCCTCAGAATATTTGCCCTGAAGAAGTTCTCATGAGCAATACTTCTAAATTTGGGGTCACATACTTCAATTGGCCTAGAGGCTGAAGCTCTATCCATTCTAGCCCTCTTTGATCTTGGAGTGTTTCTTGAAGTTCTAAGTGGAGTGTTGTTTGAAGTTCTTACCATTTTTAGAGTGCTGCAATGAGAAATCAATTTAACAAAGTAAGATTGCAATGCATAAAGGCAGAAATACAGATTACTATTCTAAAAATGAATTCAAGTCTGCTGTCAGAGTATGTAATATGTAGATGCAACAGTACAGATGCACAACATTAAGCAATCACATTTAGAGGAATTTTAATATTCCGAATTTGGAAGTTCAGGGTGCATTCACTATCAGAAAGAAACAAGGTAGCGCAGAGCAATATTTTCAGGTTTCAACCAATTTTCAAACATAGTTTTGCAACCCCAATCATTTTCAGTAAAAAGCTATTTTATCAAAGTAATGCAGAGTTGATTGTCCTAGTATTTTTCAAGCATTCAATTGTATTGCAAGTAGCATGTAGTTGTAGTTAATCTCATTCAACAATTTTAGTTCAAAAATTTTCACTGAAGTCTTTTTAGGTCAACCTAATTTCTGCAGAAATTTTGTTCAAATAATGTGCAATGCAGATTCGAATCCTCTTAAAAAGAAATTTAAATGATAGGGAAAACTTATTCAGTGTATTGTCCATAACATCAGAATAGTGCCCCATTACCCCATTCAACATTTTCCCCAAACTTTAAACACTAAAAAAACCCTAACCACAGTTTCAAAGGGATGAGGGTAAGAGTACCTTGCAGGAAGATGCATAAATGTATAGGAAAAAAATGCTTGCTGCTGCCAGGTCGACGCACACAGGGAGTGAAATTTACAGCAAATGCTCAGAGAGAAATGGAATTTTTAGCTAGAAGAGAGTGTGCGTGTTCACTTTAGGCAGTATTTATAAATACGCTTGGCACGTGACTACTTTTAAAATCAAAAGTGAACGTTGCATCATTAAAAGCATCCAACAAGGTTACTATTTTTACACAAAGTGAGCATTCCAGAGAGTTTTATTTTTCTGAGTGGAGAGCGCGTTATCACTATTGCTAGGCAAAGTGATAATGCATAGAGGGATAACTTTTACTTACCTGTGCATAGCCACTTTTTCCAGGGAAAGTGAATGTTCCAGAGAGGTTGTTTTCCCATCTGCCTCTGCGTAATCACTCTCATTAGTGAGAGTGAGCGTTCCAGAGGAGTGTGTCAACCTTCCTGCCTTTGGATGATCACTTTTATCAGCAAAAGTGATTGTTCTAGAGGGGAACATCAAATTGCTTCTCTGCGTAGCTCCTTTCCTCTAAAATAGTGACTCCTCTCATTAGTTAATTGGCTCTCAACCCTCAAATAGCTCACTTATCACACTTTAATCCTTTCAATACACACTCTAAACATTAACTCTCAAATCAAGTCCCAAATTCACCTCAGCAGAGATATGCAGCAAAATCAAATTGCAGAAATTTCAAAAAATGAAGAACATGAGTAATGAAAATTCTCAAACAATACATAAATCTTAAAATGAGTTATAATTGTGAGTTGTCTCTCACAAGCACTCTTTTAACGTTACTAGCTTGACGTTAAATGTTCCTCACTCAAGAGGAACCAGTTGAACACAAGAGATATTCCTTGCAAATTCTTCTCCATGATAAACCTTCAATCTTTGGCCATTGACCTTGAATTCTCTCCCTGTCTTTTGATCTTCAATCAGAATTGCTCCAAAGGGAGATGTTTCTTTGATCCTCAAAGGTCCAGACCATCTTGACTTTAGTTTTCCTGGAAATAGTTTCAGCCTAGAATTAAACAACAATACTTTTTGTCCAGGTTGGAATTCTCTCTGCAGAATGAACTTGTCATGAATTCTCTTGGTTCTTTCTTTGTACAGCTTTGCATTCTCATAAACTTGCTGTCTGAACTCCTCTCATTCATGTAGCTGCAAAATTCTCTTCTTTCTAGCACTTCGTAGATCAAAATTTAGCCACTTAGTAGTCCAGTAAGCTTTATGCTCCAACTCCAAAGGCAAGTGGCATGCTTTTCCAAAGACTAATTGGTAGGGTGACATACCAATTGGTGTCTTAAAGGAACCCCTATATGCCTATAGAGAGTCATCTAGCTTTTTTGACCAATCTTTCCTTGCACTATTCACTACTTTCTCCAAAATCTGCTTGATTTCTCTGTTGGACACTTCTACTTGTCCACTTGTTTGTGGATGATATGGAGTAGCAACCTTGTGCTTCACATCATACTTCATTAGTACTGCTTCAAGGTGTTTGTTGCAGAAATGAGCACTTCCATCACTGATAAAAAATCTTGGTACTCCAAACCTTGCAAAAATATTTCTTCTTATGAAAGAGATCACCACCTTGGCATCATTTGTTCTTGTGGGAATGGCTTCTACCTATTTAGAAACATAATCCACTGCCACTAAGATGTATTCATGAGAAAATGATGTGGGAAAAGGTCCCATGAAGTCAATTCCCCACACATCAAACAATTCCACTTCTAGAATATTTGTCAATGACAGCTTATGCCTCCTAGATATGTTGTCTGTCCTTTGACACTTATCACAACTTTCAATATATTTCTTGGCATCCTTGAAGAGTGTAGGCCAAAAGAAACCTGCCTGCAAGAATTTTGCAGCAGTCCTTGAACTTGCATGGTGGCCTCCATATTCTGAATTGTGGCAATGTCATAGTATCTTAGCTTGCTCACTTTGTGGGATACATCTCCTAATTAGACCATCCACCCCAATTTTGAACAAGTATGGATCTTCCCACACAGAATTTGCTGTCATGTAAGAACTTCTTCTTTTGCTGCT